TCCTTACGCTGTGAAATATTATATGAGCCATTGTTAAAAACACAAGCAAATAGGAACCTTATTTTGGCCATTAACCCCAACTTTCTCTTTGCTTGACTTTTCAGCTCATCCATGAAAGAGTCGAAGACAGAATGATCTTAATTTTTTAAAAATTTCTCATTTCTTCCTCTGGTGGAAGTGTTAAGAAGCAGTGACACAAGGATGGGCTTCAGGGGAAAAAAGGATGCGAAGGAAAATGACGTGATGATTCTCCATATGGATAACAAGACATCAATCCCTGAAAAACTAAGAATTGACTCTTCCCACCTACTCTGCGTCTTTCCTGTTCGCCACCTAAACACACACTTTATTGTCAACAAAGCACGTATACACATCTGTGTATTCTAGCTCCATCAGGCATGATCTCAGGCAAGTTAACTTTTTTGTGCATTAGTTTCCTCATATGGACATTGGGGAAATAATAGTACCCACCTTTAGTCTTGTGAGAAATGAAATAATGGTCTTGTGAGAAATGAAATAATAAATGTAAAGCTCTTAGAAGAGTGCCTGACATACAGTAAGCACTCAATAAATTATTCTTTCCTGATCTAATTTTATCCTCACAACCCTGTGAGTTGTCAGTTCATATCATCCCCCATTTTATAGATAGAAAAGTTAATGACTTGTTCTAGGTGACTCTGTTCACTAGGGGTTTGACCTTGGATCATCCTCAATTAAAGTCCATCACAGAAAAACAGCATCTAGTAGCATGTAGGGTTGGGACCCAGCTCATAAAGGGAAAAAATCTCTTAGGGTTAAGATGATCTTTGAAAGACCTTTAAATCCCTCATAAAGATAGTATTCATGCTTTCTTTTTTTCTTTTTTTTTTTGGTGGGGAAGATTGGCCCTGAGTGAACTTGTGTTGCCAATCTTCCTCTTTTTGCTGAGGAAGATTGGCCCTGAGCTAACATCTGTGCCTATCTTCCTCTATTTTTTGTATATGGGGTGCTGCCACAGCATGGCTTGATGAGTGGTGCATAGGTCCGTGCCTGGGATCCGAACCTGTGAAGCCTGGGCTGCAGAAGAGGAGTGCGCAAACTTAACCACTATGCCACTGGGCTGACCTCAGTATTCATGCTTTTGTGGATACAATTCCATAGGATAGTTCTTAAGCACACTAAGATTCTTGAATCATGAGCTAAACTCAGGAAGAAACCAAAGGAAAGCCTATATGCAGCTGTCTGGACATTCAGACCATTCTGCTTTTAAGAAAACCAAAGTATTTCTATTACCTAGATTTTCTCCACATTGATTTTTAAAAAATATTAAGCCTTTGTGCCTTAATATGTTATAAGGAGATTAACCAGTAACAAAGCATCTGATTTTAAGGATTAGGTTCTAAATTCGGTACTCAAGTTAAATAAATACTGTGCACAATATGACTCCACTGTATACAGTGTTCTCTGGTTTTGTTCGGTGAGTTATAATTTCTTTAAAGCCCAGGGATTGTCAGGCTTTGTTCATTATTGAGGTAGCAGATGATTTTGGCCTGTCTTTCAATGTATGACACCCGTTTTCTGAGAATTGACTTGCCTGTGAGCATGATGGAGCCATATTTATATTACATGACCCATTGCCCTCCACAGTTTAGAGATCGAGGATAAATACATGACACACACATGACCAATCAATATTTCATCTCAAGATTCTGGAACTGGGCTTCCATAAAACTAGTCATTCTCTCCTGTTCATGTGAAGTGAGGAGATATACGTCTGAGAGCTAAGGCATCGTTTTAGTGTAACCACCCTCAATAATGTGTGAAAAGAAGCAGAAAGGCTAGTCTGCTGAAAAAGAATGAGTTAAAGCAAGATGTGTAGAGATAAGCAGAGGAGAGAGATGAGAAATGAATGAACGAAGGAGAGAGAAAGAGAGCGAAAAGACAGTTAACTAGGCACTAGGATACTGCTGGCTAATTTCTGGTTTTAATTCCTTGTGAAGCTTAAATGTACCAACTGGGTTGGTTTCTGTAAATACCCACATAAGCCTTTGAAGATGTGTGTGTGTGTGTGTGTGTGTGTGTGTGTGTGTATTTCTTAAACTAAGTTAGTTACATTCCGTTTACTTCCATCCTTTATTTTACTTCCTAAGACATTACAAAGGTGTCCAACCCCTGGCCATTTCAAGACAGAAATACTATAGTTATTTCAATTCTTAACACTTGTATTTCTTGAACCTTGGTTTATAGACTGGAAAAGATGTTGAAAAGTCATCTTGCACATTTCCTTACTTCTAATTAATACTACCATCTTGACCGTTCCAGTTGGATTTATCCTATTTTTAGTAAAATCCAGGTAATGGAATTCTATACTGTTTGTCAGTAATTCATTTTTAGTGTAAAACAGTCCTCATAACCAGGATGTATTACCTCCCATGGAACATAAATAATTCCAATTGCAATGACTCATGTTTTCCAAGCCAAACCAGGGGGGCAAAATCTGTTTGCAAAAGAGTAACAAAATGGTATTTCTCCACATCTGTTCCCACAACTTTAGGAATTCCAGTCTTACTCAAAACTATCAAATCGTTCTGAGTCTCCAGGAAATTTTTTCTGTGTATTCCATGAATTACTTCTCTCAGCTTTGAAGTGGTGTTTGCCATTTTCTTTCTTTTCAGCTGTGGCTTCCTGCAGCAATGGCTGTTGTCAAGGCTGAGAAAGCATAGCCCTCTTCCCCAACCAGAGCTGTCTTCCAAAACGGAGGCTCAAATCTAATGATTCCTCCCGATGCTCTAAACATCCCTCAAAGATTTTAGTAAAATACTGCTTTCAGCTTTTCCTTGCTCTTTTTTTGGTAGCACCTTCTTCTTAGAGTTCAAGGTTAGACCCCAGATTTGGCTGAGAATAACCTGAGGGATAGATACGGTGTTTTTCTTAGAGGTTCTCCCTACCTTTGACACAGCTCAGGTGCATTTGGGGCTGTCTTTTGTCCCTTGGTTCTCTCTTCACTCAGTGTTCCTCCCAGAAGTTTCCTCGGACTGCGTACCAATAGACTCTTGACGGGACTGCCCATCCTTCCTCAGACAGATCCCAGTGTGCCTGACTTTTGGAGGCAACATTGCTGGCTCAAGCTGGAATCCTAGTTACACACATACACAAACAAACAACCTTGGCTATGGAGCAGAACGACCTTAAATACTGCTGTTTGAGGACACATGCTTATACTTACAGGTACCTGTCCTTTATTAGGTTCTGGCTTTATGAAATTATTACACTGTTTTCCACATTTGACCTGTAGTCTCACCAAACCTGTGGAAATTGTAGATCATACTATCAGTGCATTCTTTATGGTAATGCCAACACAGTAAATTACTACAGGCCTAGACATTTGGGAGGATTCTAGGACTCTTTCTATAACCAGATGTCTGTAGTTGTCTCAGGCAAGCACTCAGTAAAGTGCCTGACAAATGCTCAATTTGTATTTATTGAGTTGGGCTGAGTGTCCTAGCCTTGGTCACCCTCAGACCTGACTTCAGAGTTTCTAAGTAATTTGAAGAGTCTTCTTAATAGGTTTATCTCTGTGCTGTCTCTTCTCTTTGTAAAATAACCCTGGTTGTAGTTTTTTCTCTTAGGTCTTGTTTTCTACCTTTAATCTTCTCTGTGGCTGCCCTCTGAACAGTCTCCGAGTTCTCCGTGTCCTCTTCCAGCTGTGAAGCACAGATATGAAAGGCCACTTTCTGACTGAGCTGAAGGGCCTTTAGGGACTTAACCCTGACAGCTTGGCTCTTCATGGCCATCCCACTTGGAGGTCTCCTTGCCTCCCTGGTCCTCTTATCAAGTATCTCCTGCTCCAGACTTGCTATGGAAATGTCCCTGCATGGTCCCTTCTCACTCTCCTTTCCCTGTTTGCTCCACCTCTCTTCCTGCTCATCTTGGAGGCTGTGCAATCCCAGATTGCCTGCCAAAACACAAGCAGGGAAGAGATGGTGATGGCTCAAGAGCCCAGAGGAAGGAAGTCTCTTTATGAGGAGTCCATCTCTCAAAGGCAGGTTAGGTCTTCTTAACCTCTCTTTTGCCATCTGCCTTCCTCCAGGGATCCTCTGACCCTGAGTCTCCACTTGCTCTGCATTCTCGATACTCAGAGAAAATCAGGACCTCCAGGGCAACCTGAGCCTGCCCGTGGTCAGAAACGACCCAGGCTCCAAAGGGTTAAGCTCTGGAGCCTTGATGGATGGAGAGGATTATTAGTTACCGTTTAGAGAGCGGAGGCAGGGTTCCTCCCTGTCGCCTACACTCTCCTTTCAACAGGATCTCTGGCCATGGCCACGGAGAGGGAAAAAAAAAGAAGAAAAAGGGAAAAAAAAAAAAAGGTTTTCAAAATAATTTAGAGAGTTCTTGTAAATGCTTGTGTTTTCATTTAGCAGCATGAATCCAGGACAGCAACAGACCCTCAGAGGCAGCAACCGACTGGGAATTGAGTGGAAAAAAAATAGGAATCCTAGACTCTCGAACTGCCCAGCTTTTTGGTGGGGGAGGTAGAGGGGAGGACGGGATTAAATCAAATCTTTCTGGGGAGGGCTCAGCTCTGGGCTTTCGTGGATAAAACACTAAAGATCAGCTCCATGTGTGTGACCCAACTCTCCTGGAAGCTTCAACTGGAAGAGAATCCAAACCTTAAGTTGTGCTTATAGTTTTGCTTCAGTAAGAAAAATGGGGTGGGGGGTCTCGGGGCGGGGACCAAGCCTTAGATGGAGGGGGAGGGCTCGGGGATGGATCCAGTGGGGATAAGGCGGAAGAGAGCTATGTCTTTAAGTCTGTCTTATGGTTATACATATTTTTTTCTTCTATGAATGGGTTTTGCTGTAAATTATAGCTTTGCCCGTGGTCCCCTGGGTCAAAAGAAATAGATTCTAAACAGAAAACAGCTCTGATTGGTGACTTTCCTTCTTCCCTCCCCAACCCCCTTCCTAATTGAAACCAAATGTGCAATATATTGGATGCTGGGATCCCTGGCGCTTTCCCAGGAATCCTCAGAATGTGAGGTTTCTCTCAAAGGCATCTTGCATCAGCCTGTGGATGTATGCCTACCGCCGGGCGCCTTCACCGGCAAAGTGGAAGAAGAAGCGTCTCACAACAAATCCTTCCTTTTGGGTTGGGGGAACGCGGTGGATTATAGCTCTGTTTTCTCCTTTCAAAACTGTTCACTCCTGGATGAACGTAAGTTATGTGTTTTTTTTTCTTCCTTTTTTTTTCCTTTCCGAAAATGAAAGCTCTGAATCAACTTTTCCTGGTGTCTCAGGAAAAGTTTTAAAAAGGAGGCAGAAGGGAGTTTCAAGTCAGGAGAGAAAGGGAAGGGAATGGGGCACCACAGACTCGAGAAATCCAAGATCTCACATCTTCGGGGGGCTGGATTTATGTTACGGAGGGAGAATAAAGAGCATTAATAACCAAAGAAGACTGAAGCAAAATAAACGAATCTTAGCAGCTGCGAGATACAATAAACAGCGTTAGCAGAGTTGAAATTGTTGGCAGGCCAGACAGGCCGATTGCAGAGCTAGTTTTGAGATGGAGAAACCAGAGCAGGGGAGCTAGGTTTTTTGGCATTTAGTTGTGGTGCTCGAGGGTCCTGAGTTTTGGAGAGGGCAACTTTCAGTACTTTTGTTTTGTCAGGGGAGATGCTGACTTCATTGTGTGAAGGGCAACTTTGGATGAGTTTAGGGTGCCCGGGGGTGCGGGGGGGGGGGGTTGGCGCTGGGTAGAGCCGGCATTTCTCAGTTGGGGACCAGGAAATACAGCTGCCCAGCCTCATCTTCCCCTGGGCAGCCTTTCCCTTTGTTAACGAATCACTTGGGACTGGTTGCAGTTGGGACCTCTGAGTCCTGGCTGAGGTTCAAGAGTCCCATCCAAGGGGAAAGAGAATTTTTCCAAGAGGCTGAAACTCCCAGGCCAGCCATTCGAGGCGGGAGTTCACTCTGTTCAAGCCAGTAGGGGTTCAGCACCATTTTGCTGACTGCTTGCCTTCTGCATCCTTTCCCTGGAGGAACGTTGAGGTAGAGTCCTGAAAAGAGCCTTAGAGGTCTCATCTGACCCCCTCACTTGGCAGATGTTGGCAATGATAGAAGGGAGACTGACACGTTCAGGGTCACACAGCATAGTCGCGGAGCTGACAATGAAATTGAGGTTCCGTTTCCGGCTCATCTAGTGCTCCTTCCACTCCATATCTCATGCTCATGCTCCTTCTCCAACCTCTACTTTCATGTTCATTTCACGGCTGAGATAATAGAAGCAGTTGAATTAACAAGTCGCCACAAGGACATGCATTATCAGCAAGAGAGGATGGATGCTAATGGTAATGCATCAGCTAATGGTGTATCTATGGTTATATTTGGTTGTGTGTGTGGAACTAAAAAAAGCTAACATTTGAGTATTTATTATGCACCAAGCTCCATGCTCAGAGCTTTACATACATTATTTGATTGAATCCTCACAGTTCTTAAGGCGTTATTCCTATTTTATAGATAAGAATATTAAGGCTTAGAGAAGCAGAATGAGTTGTTCAAGGAAATGCAGCTAATAGGTTTGAAACTCATGTGTGTGTGATTCTACAGGCTATGCTCTGAATCACTCTGCAGTTATACTCCCCTTGCTCCTCCGCACACACTTTTGATTACTTTTCTAGTCAGATTCCACGTTTCCCTCTGTGACCAGGAGGTGAAGGTATCAGGCGAGGGGAGCAGTACGGATTCTCTCTTGGAGGCAGCTTCTGCACTTGGACGAGTGTTTGTCTGGATGTCAGAGAGGGGCTGCAGGTAGGCATCTCTGTGCCTTAATTCTGAGTGCTTGGTATATACTTAGCTTTGTTATGCAATGAGCCTGCGATTTAGAGTCAGAAGATCCAGGTTCAAGTTCTGGGTCTACCTTTTACTACTCGGCCAAGTTGCTTCACCTTTCCGTGCCTCAGCCTCTGTATTGATGACAAGAGGATAGTGGCAATACTCTTTGGTATTATTGTTTTAAGAGGTATTGGACACGAGTGTGTTCTGAAGGCTATGAAGGGCTTAACCATACCAGTTCTTCTGCTGATGATCACTGAATACTGGAACGTGACGGGCAGCAGCCTCCAACGAGCTGGGTCTGGCCAGCAGTGCTGATGTCGGCAGGAGGGCGGTTGTGTTTGGCTGTGTGTGAAACTCTGAAATGGGTGGCTTCCGCCTCAGTGCCCATCTCTTTTGAATGGAAGCAATCCCTCGTCACAGGGAATATTCCTGGGTTTTCTATCTGAAACTTTCCTCTGATGGCCTAGCTTGGCCGTGATTCCTTATCCGAGGAAAGCAGTGGAGGCTGAAGGACACCAGGTTGTTCGAGCATCACCTGCTGGGGTCTGCTTCGTCTTTGAACAAGAAGGGTTCAGTCAGCATCAGTCCACTGGTTTCTCCTCAAAGGAGACTGGCTTTTCAGGACCCAGGACCTTCTTGTCACCGGCAGGCACATCTCACCCTGTCCTTTCCTTCGTTTCTTCTTCTGTGCCTGCAGTCAGAAGGAATGCAGTGGCCCTGGGGGTGGGGGTGAGGGGCCAGCGGCAGTGGGGAGGCCCCTGACTCTGCTTCTGGTTAAGATCTGTTTCCTTTATAAACACCAAAGGTAATGGAGACACAGAAGGCGTTTCCAGAATCTTTTACTTAGAATCCTCAAATTGAAGCTCCCAACTGTATCCATGTCTGTGAGATAATACAAAATATATATCTTGGTCTCTGCCCCCAGATCCCAGCACAGAAATTCTAAAGTCCTTGTAATTTCCTAAGTGATAAGAGCACTAGGAACATCTTTTGTTCTAATATTTGGTTTTTGACCCCAGTTCCTGACAGAGAGCTCTTAAATCCTTCAAAATTTCCTGAGTGATAGCAGTGTCTTTTGTTCTAATGAGGTGACTCTGAGTGGGCTCCTGGATGGGGGCTGGTCATCAGAAAGACCAAACCATGATTAGAAGCTTGGAATTTTCAGCCCCACCTCCCATATTCCAGGAAGGGCAGAGGGTTTGGAAACTGAGTTAATGATCGATCATGCCTACGTGATGAAGCTTCCATGAAAATCCCAAAAGTATGGGGCTTGGGGAGTTTCCAGGTTGGTGAACACATCTATGTGCTGGGAGGGTGGCATACCCCACTCCACAGGGACAGAAGCTCCTGCACTTGGGACCCTTCCAGACCTTGCCTTATGTACCTCCTTGTCTGGTTATTCCTCTGGATCCCTCATTATATAATTAACTGGTAAATGTAAAAAAAAGTTTCCCTGAGTTCTGTGAGCTGTTCTAGCAAATGAGTGAGTCCAAGGAGGGGACTGTGGGGACCTCTGATTTGTATCCAAGTCAGACAAAAGTTGTGGGTAACCTGGGACCTACCTGTTGTAATTGGTGTCTGCACTGGGGGGACAATTTTGTGGGACTGAGTCCTTAACCTGTGGGGTCTGCACTAACTCCAGGAAGTTAGTGTCAGAATTGCTAGGTGTAACCCACACATCTGCGTCAGAAATATTGTGAGTGTGTGAGTAGAAAAAAACAGTGAGTTTTTCCTAGGTGATGTCCAACCACAGAGTGGGAGTGTCATCTCAAGGAGCCTCATCACCTCCCCACTCTCCCCTAGCCTCTCTGTTAACTCACTGTTTTCTTCCCTTTTTATAGTCACTTTCCAGACTTTGTCATATGAATTATCTGTCACATGTAATGAATCTAGTCAGAGCTTTCCATGTGACTGCATTTTAAAAAAATTTTTATTGAGGTCATAATAGTTTGTAACATTGTGAAATTTCAGTTGTACATTATTATTCATCCATCACCATATATACATGTGCCCCTTTACCCCTTGTGCCCACACCCCAACCGCCTTCCCCTCTGGTAACCACTAATCTATTCTCTTTGTCCATGTGTCTGTTTATCTTTCACATATGAGTGAAATCATGTGGTGTTTGTCTTTCCCTGTCTGGCTTATTTCGCTTAACATAATACCCTCAAGGTCCATCCATGTTGTTGCAAATGGGACGACTTCGTCTTTTTTATGGCTGAGTAGTATTCCATTGTGTATATATATATATATATATATATATATATATATACCACTTCTTCTTTATCCATTCATCAATCGATGGGCACTTGGATTGCTTCCACGTCTTGGCTATTGCGAATAATGCTGCAATGAACATAGGGGTACATAAGTCTCTTTGAATTGTTGATTTCAAGTTCTTTGGATAAATGCATGGTAGTGGGACAGCTAGATCATAAGGTATTTCTATTTTTAATTTTTTGAGAAATCACCATACTGTTTTCCATAGTGGCTACACCAGTTTGCATTCCCACCAGCAGTATATGAGGGTTCCCTTTTCTCCAGAACCTCTCCAACATTTGTTATTTTTTGTCCTGGTGATTATAGGCATTCTAACGGGTATAAGGTGATATCTCAGTGTAGCTTTGATTTGCATTTCCCTGATGATTAGTGATGTCAAACATCATTTCATGTGCCTATTGGCCTTCTGTATATCTTCTTTGGAAAAATGTCTATTCATATCCTCTGCCCAATTTTTGATCAGGTCGTTTGTTTTTTTGTTGTTGGGTTGTGTGAGTTCTTTATATATTTTGGAGATTAACCTCTGGTCAGATATATGATTTGCAAATATTTTCTCCCAGTTGGTGGGTTGTCTTTTCGTTTTGTTCCTGGTTTCCTTTGCCTTGCAGAAGCTCTGTAGTCTGATGAAGTCCCATTTGTTTATTTTTTCTTTTGTTTCTCTTGCCAAGTAGACACAGTATTCAAAAAGATCCTTCTAAGACCGATGTCAGAGTGAACTGCCTATATTTTCTTCTAGGAGATTTATGGTTTCACATCTTACCTGCAAGTCTTTGATCCATTTTGAGTTAATTTTTGTGTATGGAAAGGTAATGGTCTACTTTTGTTCTTTTGTGTGTGGCTACATGGGACTGCATTTTTAATAGACACACTGAAAAATTAGTGGCCACCCCCTATATATTAATGTCACACCATTTTAAATTATCATTAACTCTTGGACACCCTTCCCAAGTTCCCTTATAAGATACACTTTTAGGCACTTCACATCACCCACACCTCAAACACACAACCCAAACACACGTCTCACAGGCATCCAGAAAGCTAACACTCATCTAAAAACGGACCTTCACAGACATGCTGAAGCCTTGTGCCAGCTGACATAAA